TCTTGCACTGTCTTCAGTGCTGCCCCCTGCAGCATTGTGGGTGAGGAGACGTTTTGTCTTGCTATGGGGCCAGCGAGCAGGAGTTTTGTCCTTAGGGTTTTGTGGGCCAAGATGGGGTTCTTTCTCTCTCCCTCTTAAGTTTGCTTCCTTGTGGTCTAGACAGACCTGCTGCTCTCCTGGGGCTGTATCTTCAGTGCTATCTTCTGTCATGCATTCTTCTAGGGAGTGGGTAAATGTAGCTGGGACTGGGGCTGGTCCCACAGCCCTCTCTGTTAGTTCATTGATCCATGCCAGTTACCCTATTAAAATTTTTTCAAGCTCATGTTTCAATGGCTGACAAGCACATTCTTAGTATTTTTTCTTCACCTCTTCTACATCATGAAATCACGATTTTTTCATATTCCTCTTTATTTTGGGAAACAAAAGAAGTTGCATGGAGCAAGGTAAGGTGAGTAAGGCGTGGGGCAGGAGAGGCATGCTGTTTTTGCCAAAAACTGGTGCACTGAGACGGTGACGTGAACAGGTGCATTGTTGTGGTGGCAAAATCAGTCCTCCATCTGCCACAAATCGGGCCTTTTTTTGTCACAATCTGTTATGCAATCTTTTCAGAACCTCTAAATAGAAAGCTAGATTAATAGTCTGACCTGGTGGTATGAACTCCAAATGCACTACAATTCAACCTTTTCATCCGTTCACTCAGGGAGTTGACAGACTCCAGAACAATTTGCCATCTTCAACATTTCACCTTTTTTGAAATGAGACAACCACTAGTACACTTGAAATTTTTCCCATAGTGCTGTCCTTTTTAGCTGTGTTCAACAACACGACAGTTTCTACGCCACCTTTCCGTAACAGGAAACAAAATTTCGTAGCTGCACGCTGTTCTCTGAAATTAGCCATCACTAAAAACGAGGTTCATGCAAAATTACTTTTAAGAAAAAAAATCACTGTGATCAGAGAGAACCTTCTCAGGCAACAGCACTGGGTGCAGTAGCTCAAAGTGAGTTGCTCAATGCCCACCTAACAGGAAAAGGCATACTGTGTGTGCTAGTTACACAATTTCATGTCAACTTGATAAACAGAAAGAGTAGAGGAGGAGTCTAGCCCTGCATGTCTAGACCTGATGGTCAATCAAGTCACAGGTAACACCCACCAGGAGGATTCTGGGTACTTCCTCTTTTTCTCCTTGGAGGAGAACCCCTCACTCTCTCTCTCTCTCTCTCTCTCTGCTTCACATTTCTGTGGACAAGCCACACGGAATCATGCTGATGGTAGGCATAACACTGGAGATGCGCCCACCACTATTGGATCCATAACACTTTTTACTCACAGGCCTCTGATCTTCCTGCATTCAGCATCACTGCATGTGCTATGTGAGTCTAAAGAGGAATTTTATGGACTAGTATCGTACATACAGACTAACATCAGAATTATGGACTTGATCTGGACTGACCTGGGATGTTTTCTCAGTATACAATTACCCTTTGATATTATAGCTTTCTCTTAAACACCTTAGTGTCTCTGAATTTGTTTCTCTAGTCAACCCAGACTAACACACTATGAAAGCTCAGCTAGGACTAGCGCAATTCCGATTTTGGGGGGGAATACCAGTCCACCGTGCATTATTTTTAACAACAAATATTAAAAATGTTTCCCTATTATGAAAAGTGGGTAATGAATTTCCTTGTTTTGCAAACACCTTTTCATTGGAAATGTTTACGGTAGGTATGCTAAGAGGTGAAAATCTGGTGCAAATTACTATGTGAAATATAATACAAGAGGTTTCAAATAAAAGAAAGAAAAAATCATGCATTTCCAAACACTAAAAAATCTAGATTACCCTATAATGTCCATGGATGATGTAATTGGTTAAACACTCAGCTAATAATCTAAAGGCTGGCTATTCAAATCTATAATAGGGCCTTGGAAGACAGGCTGATTGATTACCTTTCAAAAGGTCAAAGTCTTGAAAACAATAAGGAGTCATTTTACTCTGTAAAGGAGGTTACCATGAGCTAAAGTAAAACCGATGACAACTAATACTAAAAGCAAGTCATATAACCATTTAACTAAAAGAAAAATAAAAAATTTACAAATTATTACAAAGGCCATTGCATTCACTGAAAAACTGCTTGTAATAAGGCTGCAACTCACTGAACTCTAAGAATTTTCTTATAAGGAGAGCATATACTTTTTCGATTAGTTGGGATTTAATACATATATTATATGAATCCATAATTCAATCACATCAAGTGGAACTGTACAATTGCTACCACAATCTGTTTCCAAACACTTTTTCTACATGGATTCCTTGACATCCTCTCCCTTTTACTCCATCACCAGAGTCTACATTTTTAAAAAGAAATTCAAGGATGATAAATATAAAGCAAAGCAATATGCTTATTTTAAATAAGCATATTATTTATAATATAAGCCTATTATAATATTATTACTTATAGTAAGCATATTATTTTGCTTAAAATTTACCATCCAGAGGAAACAGGTAATTGACGCGAGCCAGGCTCTAAAGCAGTAAGGCTTGCTGTGGAAGCACAACTGTACAAGAGTAACAGTTGCAGACTTCATGGTACATGTTCTGGAGAAAACAAAACACTCGCTGCTATCAAGTCAATTCAGACTCATAACAACCTATGAACTGAGGAGAACTCCTGCGGGTTCTACTGTAAAGATTTACCTAAGTTTTAACCCTTTACAAGAACAGAAAGCTTCTTCTTTTCCTGTGGAATGCTTGGTGGGATCAAACTGGTGACTTCGTGGTGAGCAGTCCCACTTTGGCCCACTATTCTACCACGGCTCCTCAGAAGCAGCTGCAAAACCTCAGACACATTTCTTCCTAGAAAAGTTCACTGAAAATCATCTCTTAGTCCTATAAAATTCCCAAGGATTATATAATGAATTCTCTCCCTCCCTTTTTGTAGACTATAATGCTCTTTTTTTTTTTGAAGTATATATTTACTTGCCAGTACAGGTATTATGAATCAAAGTAACTCAAAATACAGTTTTTATGGCTACAGGTTTCTCTTTTCCTATTCCCTCCTACCACCCCCACCCCCAAAAAACAATCTTAACCTGAAAGTCCTAATGTTCAAAAAGTGCCAATATTTTTTCATATAAATCTCTAAGGAAAGGAAGTATTAATGAATATGGTAACTCTCCTAGGAAAATTGGAGTCACAAAATTCTTATGACAGGTACCTACAGAACTTTTAACTCATTATCTGTAATTTGGGCATGATATGTAAAGCACATTGCAGACTAGAAACTTTATTTTTAACCCCAGAAGCACCTAGTCCAGGACAGAGTGGTAGTCACCCTCATGGTTGCAGGGCTGGGTAAGTAATTGCAGGAGAGGGGTGGGGCCAGTGCCCAGAATCTAGGTGGCCATGGTCCAAGTACAGCCTGCTGCCTCCACAGGGTTGCCTGCGTACCTGCTGAGGGCACCATTGACTGAGGAGAAATGGGTCAGAGATTTTGATGAAAAACAAAAGGAAGCAAACGAAATGCTGGCAGAGATAGAGGAGTAACTACATTATGTCTCCCTTTCTTTCCGTAACCCCATGATGTCCAAGATGCATAGCTACAGGAAAGGACCTTGGCAAAAACTATGTTGGAAGGTGAGAAGCCTTTGACAACCAGGGGCTGAAGAAACATGAAATACATCACATACTCTGTGGAGAAAGAGCACTAAACCAGCTGCAGACTCAAAGGGCACTGCTTCTGCACGGCACTGACAGTCTGAACCACACTACCCTGTGTATTTAATGTTCTCATCAGTGTGAAAGTGAGACTGACAAGGAGCTGGGGGTACAATGAGACCATGTGGAGTGCACCAAGACAAGTGAAAACTTGAGCAAAAGTTTTAAGATTCTCCGGTCAATGTCTAGAAAAGTAGGCACCAAGAAGCTGCTGCTTTCTATCATCCTCTTAAAAGGGCTTGTCATCTAGGAGGCATGGTTTCTTACAAGTTCTTCCACATCATTTAACTTCTCAGAGAAAGATTTGTGGACTAGAACTTTAACCCTATGAATGAATATCAGGGACAGAAAAGAACAAGTTGCTGCTGTGGGCTGACAGTTCAAGGATGCACGGTCCAGTCAAACTGTGGGAAGAGGGAGGGCAGACAGAAAACCACCTGAAAAGTACAAGAAAAGCCCAAGACTAGAGGTATCCCAAGGTAATGCATGCTGTTTCTGACTCCCTGGGGAAAAACCAGAAATCTGTATTTTCCACTTTTTATATTTCTACGCTCGTTTGTTTATGGTACTTTTTCAGTCAGAAATGAAAAGGCTGCTTTAGAGGTTGTTTTTCTAATAAGTGAAACATATATCAAAGCATTTTGTTTTTAACTCTCTAATGAAATGTAGCTTTGATTATCCTAAGTACCCAGATTCATGCTTACCTTTAATCTTGACATACTGCATATCAGGATTAACACAGAGGGCCAGGTTACTAGGTAGAGTCCACGGAGTGGTTGTCCAAGCAACTAAAGATACGTTTAGATCTTCCTCCAAAGGGAAAGTTACAAATACGGAAGGATCTTGAACCTCCTGAAATAAATGGAGGCAAATTATTTTACAAAATATATCATCAAGATAGACAAGTTTTATCCCCTGAAGAATGAAACAAACCCATTTTCAGGACACACCGAACATTTAAAAATCTTTTTGAACTTTTTTGGCCAAATTTAGAAAAAGTAAACAGAAAGCATAAAATTCTAAACATATTTTAAAAACACTTAAATATTAAGAGTTACCATGGTGGTCACAAAGGAACTGTGGAATCACTGTGGGTTATGCATTGAGCTGTTAACCAAAAATCAGCGGTTAAACCCCTCACTGTCCAGTGGACAAAATGCAGAGTTTCTGCTCCCATAAAGACTTACCGCCCAGGAATCCTTAGAGGCAGTTCTACTGCAGCCAATGGGGTCCCTATGAGTCACAATAGACTCAACGGCAATGGCCTGGGGTTTGGTTTTAGTAGACACAAATATAAACCATTTTAAAACATCAGTTAACTCTGTAGATTTATCAAGAGGAAGGGCATACATAATGGAGAGTTCACTATTAAATTGATCTGTTGTATAAGTCCATGAAGAATAGGTTAAAAAGTAATAAGTTTTGGAAAACAGAGCTATACTTTTCCCAAATATCTAAAAGAATAAACAGAAATGCCATTTACTTGAAAATATAACATACCAGTATTCAATATTAACTAATGCAACACTGACCAAAATACATCTTAAATGAAATGCCACAAGAAAAACGAGCTTTACAAATTTCAAGTTATTTACACATAAAACATACACCAATCTGAAATGTTTAACATAAAAGGCAAGGTGCAGAAGGAGCACTTTTTAAGGTTTAAAAACATACAGACTATACAAGACAATGTTATTGTTATAGATACCTAAGTACATAGCCCCACTGCCATCAATTGATTTGGATTCATCCCACGTGACAACAGTGAAACTAATCCATAGGGTTACCAAAACTGTACATCTTCCCAGGAACAGACTGCCATATCTGTATCCTGTGAGTGCCAGGTAGGTTTGAACTGCTAGCCTTTCATGTAGCAGCTGGACACCTAATGACCACCCCACCAAGTCTCCTATGTACATGGTAAAAATATAAAAAGATGTATGAGAAATACCAAATTCAACACAGTGGTCATCATTCAAGATCTAAAGAAGGAAAGATGATGCTAAGAAACGTGTTATATATTACTATGGTATATTCAACCTCTACAAATTAGAGCATACTATATAACTACGTAGATTCCAGTTAAGTGATGGAAGGAATACAAACAAACACATGTTGGACGTTTCCATTTATGCAAAGAATATTAACAGGGAACTATTATCTATAATATTTTATAAATATTTTTAAGTAAACAGATGTATTAAAGATGTACTAATAATGCACATAGATTTCCCCATTGTCATATATAAATATATTTACATATGTACATGCCTGTATTTAGACCTCTATAAATGCCCTTTGCCTCCTAGTTCTTTCCTTTATTTCCTTTTACTTCCCCTTGTCCCACTATCATGCTCAGTCTTCATTTGGGTTTCAGTAATTTGGTTACACTGCCCTTGATCAAGCCCTACCAGGCCTCCTATACCCTCCTCGCCATTGATTTTGGATCACTTTTGTGCCCTTGTTCCTGGGTGTTAACACCCACTTCCTTTCCCCCACCTTCCCCTCTCCCATGTCTAGAGCCATTGGTCCTGTTGTTTTCTCCTCCAGACTGCTTGTCCTGCCTATCTTATCTAGAAAGAAGTGGAGAGAGAATACAATGCACAAGACAAAGCAAAACAAAACAACAAAAGAAAACAAAGCCACAACAACAAAATGCCACGCACGTGCGCACGCGCGCACACACACACAGAGAAAAGCCTGTAAATAGTTCAAGGTCTGTTTGTTGACCTTTAGGAGTATTTTCTGGTTGAATCTGATAGGGTGTGTACTCCCTCGGGACTTCCTTGCTCTGCTCTCCTTGATGCTCTTTTGCACATCCTTAGTGTTTTGCCTCAGTGTGGTGGGATCAGATCAGGCGCAATTGCCACAGTTGTGTCTCCAGTGTTAGGGTTATGGGTCAGTGAGGTATGTTGTGTCTCGTAGTGGGGCTGGCCATATGGTCCTCTCTGTGCACTGGTTTCTGTGAGCAGAGATATCGTCCTCAAGGCTATGTGGACCAGGATGTGCTCCACTCTCTCTTCCTCCCCCTTCATTTGCTCCTGTGTGCTCTGATCAGACATGTCCCTCTCCCTGAGCTGTAGCTTCAATGCTATCCTCTGAAGTAAATTCTTCTGGGGGAACAATGCTTTTTAGTACATTTAAACCACAAAAATTGTATGACACGTGAATTATGTGTCAAAAAACTTAAAAATAACAAAATACCTCTATAAAACAAAGGCTCAAATGAACTTCTGTGGTTAGTATTATGTGTATGTATTGTCGTATATCATGGCTGAAAAACACAAACACAATCAAAGACTTAACTGATTTACTGTAAACAGATTAAAACATAGGCAAAAAAAAACAAAACAAAAAAAAACCATGGGAACATTACCAGCTTCTAAGTATGAACTGGCAGAAACTGAATGTCCAAGTAACATATCCACGAGGGGGACCAATTGGGAATACAAACCACAATTACCATCCCCATAATTTAATCTCAAATGATGTTTCCGCATATCACATACCTTGTAATTTTGGTGAGATTCAAAGTTGGAAAGTGGAGTATTACATGCTGTGGAGTAAGGCATAACTTTCACACCTCTGTAAACAAGGCCTTTATCATAGAGTTGTTTGAAAACCCACCTAACAAGAAAAAATTTTCTATAATTACATACCAATGTTTCTACAAAAATTGATGCTGCTTTTTTGTTCATAGTTTCTGCCTGCCAAAAGAATTAAACTTTAGAGGGAAAAAAGAAAGACCTAAAATAAAAAGCAGTTGTCTACAATGGTGTGGGGGGCATGAAAAAGTTGGTTAATTACAAATCATTACAAGGGGACATTACATAGGCATTTAAAATGCCAATATAAAATAAAATGCTAATATCTATTGACATGGAAATATACTAATGATATAATGTTGACTGAGAAAAGCAATTGACAGATAATTTTGAACAGTTAAGTTATGTAACATTTATATAAACTATACACCTATATCACTATACATGTTTACATGTTTAAGAGATGCTTACAAACACATTTTCACCAATAGGGTAATGATGGTTGTAATTTCAGAGTTCTTTTAAACGTTGAGTCCTGATGGGACAATGGTTACCGCTGAGCAATTCAAACCACCAGCTTGCTCCATGGGCTTTTTGCTCCCATAAAAAGTTAGTCTTGGAAATCCACAGGGGAGTTCTAGCCTGTCCTATCGGGTTGCTCTGAATCGGAATCTATATGATGCAGAAAGTTTAGGGTATTTTGTTCTTTTTCTTTAAACAGTTTTCTTGAAGCAGTATTTAAATTTAATTTGTTTTCTTCTTCCTCTAAATTTAATTTTAATGGGTCATTTTACAATAACAATTTAAAAAGCCTAAACCACAAACCTATCTCTCTTACAATCAGAAAACTTTCATTAGCCTTTTAAGTGTGCTGCATTATGCTAAATATGACAAGATTGCAAAATTATGTGGTAAAATGAACCCAGTCCGCTCATGTGATGACTATTCATATCTTCCAGTTGGATCTAGTACTGACCAGAACACCTTTATTTAATTTTTCCCTTATTTAATTCATTTTTATATTCTGGTTACTATGTACTTGGTAGAATAATTTATTTCCATTTCATTTGTTTAATGAAATAATGTACACATATTTTCCTACTACTCTTTTGATTTAAACTGAAAAAAGCCAAGTGTCTTCAAATAAGTTCAACGTCATTGTTATACCCTTTGATATTGGGGCATTTATAGAAGACTATCAAGAAGAACACAGTGTTTAATATCTACCATCCATAAAATTAGCTGGAATATCTTAAACTAACCACAACAACTTGCTCTCACCTCAAATGTTCTCTCTAATGTATAGGGTTCTCTGGTGTATATGGAGAAAAATTATATGAAAGTACTTTACATACTTACAACCTAAATATTCACTAATATTATTACTATGAAAGGTACCATCTACTATTTTTTATATACCGCAGTATGTGTGCCTTATTTATAAACCAACAAGTTTCTCAGGAAGAACTAACATTCTAATGGCAAGAGGCTTAAAAACAATTTTCCTTCTGATTTAAGAAGTGCTTTATGTACACTGGGAATCACTATCTAGTGCTATCATCCCCTTTTTAGCAATCCAAGCAACATTACATTCTAAGTAGCCCTGATTTACAATATAAATAGTATCTTCTTTTTCAGAGGTTTAATATAAAGCCAGGTTTTTTAAATATCCTAATCATGATACCCTAGTTGCTGAATGAATTGGAAATGCCCATCTAAATTCTCTGGCTTGTCATAAATTTTGTTGAGTTTTCCACCTTTTGAGTACATACGACTGAACATGTTTCTACAGCAGTGGTTCTCAACCTGTGGGTTGTGACCCCTTTGGGGGATCAAACGACCCTTTCACAGGGGTCGCATGATTCATAACAGTAACAAAGTTATAGTTATGAAGTAGCAATGAAAACAATTTTATGGTTGGGGGAGTCACCACAACATGAGGAACTGTATGAAAGGGTCAGGGCATTAGGAAGGAGTTTGAGAACCACTGTTCTACAGGAAAATGTCCATCAGAGGATCTGGGAATCATTCCAAAGTATCTAGTACCAGCTCCAAGAAGGCAAAGAAAATAGTCCAAGTATGTGGAGCAGATTTTAGTTAACAGAAATGCAAATATTTATATTTGAATGTAGCAGAAGTAATAGCACCTACAAAACAAACACATCCTGCAATACAAATAAATACAGCATTGCAATGCACTTGTACTTTTATGAATAATTTTTAAGACATAAAATTTCCTCAAAATTGGTTTAGTTATGTACATAAGGCATTTTATAGCCACATTAATGGTTATCTATTTGCTATTATTTGTTAATAATAACTTTCAGAATATTGTGTAAGACCCAAGCTAAACCAAAGATTGAGAATGGCTCTAATTGTCATATCAGAAACCAAACCATTCCAACTCACACAGACCCTATACAGTGCTCCCAAGATAGTCAATCTTTACAGAAGCCTCAATCTATGTAAGAGCAAAAATCTCTACGGGAGCTAACAGCTTCATCGTTCTCCCGCAGAGCAGTTGGTGGGTTTTAAACACCAACCTTGCATTTAGCAGCCCCAACGCCTAGCCCACCAGGGCTCCTTATAATAGTAAAACATGAAATTTCATTTGGTAACTGTGGTGAAATAGTCATCAAACTTTAACATGCCTCATTGTTAAATTGAAGCACACAATTTCTTAGACTTAATTGAAAAAGAAAAAAAACAATCAAAACGCTTCTGAAAACTAAATTTCCCTAACTATATAAACTAATTTGACAAAACCCCCAAAACTTACAACTGATAGCAAGCAATTTATAACTATTTATTTTTAATGTAAATATGTGCTCTGATGCAGAAATACTTAAGTACTTGATTATAGGTTGCTGGTCTGCTTGCTGGGGCTACTAACATATGGTACAAAATTATATGAATACCCTATTACCTTTCCAGAATCCAAAAATGTCCCAACTGAAAATAATACATG